AAAATATCTTGATATTAAATTGTAATAATACAAAATGTTATCAATAAAAAAACTGAGATCAGGTCTCACTCTTTAAAAAAAAAATAAAATAAAATAAAAATAAATACTTGCAAAGTTTAGATAATACAAATAAAATTAAAAAGCAATTCTTAAAAACTAATAAAACAACTAAACATCAGGAAATTTTTAAATAGAGTGGATAACAATTAATACCTTAAAGTGGCAATCGATAAGCATCAACCCTGTGGGTTATCACCAATATAGATTGAAATCGATTAGCAATGAAATTGTCAATTAGAATCAATTAAGATTATAATCGATTAGCATCAAGTTTATCGATTTGAATTGATTTAATTAATCGATTAGTATTAATTACAATTGATTATAATGTTTAATTATTTGTGTGTTAATTAAAATATTTAAATAAACTAAATTATTGCACGAGCTTTATGTAACAACACATGTTTAGCTAAATCGGAACACTAATATAAATTGATGACTTTTTTTTCGGTTTGCATATTTTAACTTTTTTTTTAGTTAAAAGCATCATTGCCTTTGTGATACTATCGCTTTTCCTGGTGTCGTTGCTTTTTTTGGTATCATTGCTTTTCTGGTACTGTCATTTTTCTTGATGTTATTACTTTTTCTGGCAGAATTGATTCTGATCTCTTTTTGGTATTGTCACTTTTTCTGGTATTGTTATTTTTCCTAGTGTCATTGCTTTTTCTGGTATCATTGCTTTTTTTGGTATCATCGTTTTTCCTGGTGTTGTCACTTTTCCTGGTATTGTCGTTTTTTCTGATATTGCTTTTTCTGGTGGCATTGATTCCAATTTCTTTCCTAGTGTTATTATCATTTTTTCTAGTACTATCGTTTTTTCTAATATCGTTGCTTTGTCTGGTATCGTTGCTTTTTCTGATGATATTGATTCTGATCTCTTTTCCTAGTATTGTTACTTTTCCTGGTATCATCACTTTTTCCTAGTACCATCGCTTTTCTGGTATTATTGTTTTTTCTGGTACTGTCGCTTTTCCTGATGTCGTCACTTTTCTTAGTTCTGTTGTTTTTTTCGGAGCCTTTTTCGCAATTTTGTAAGTGGGCTTGTTGCTTGATGGATTTTGCTATTAGTTTTTATCAGCTTGCACATATATCTAACTACTCTTTTATAAGTAGGTGTTTCTTGTCTGATGTCTTGTAGATGGTGTTGCTTCGTTATTGTAGTAATCTATTGTTATTAATGGAGCAATTTTGTTTTGAGGAGCTGTGATTATGTTGTAGTGATATTATAAATATCCTTGTGTTAGTTTTTTTAGGGGAGTATAATTCCTTTTTTTTATAGTTGTTTTGTCATTTTTATTCATGAATATAACTAATGCACTTTTCTATATTACAACGAATACAATTTTGATACTTGTATTCCTCCCTGGCTTTCAAATATAGCTGGTAAGTAAAACTTGGGGCTTTTCATTGGCAAAAGTTGAAGCTAGTATCTCATCTTTTGCTAAAAAAAGTTCTGAAAAGCAAAATGTGGCGAACTGGTAAACTAACAAATGTGTAAAACGTGGTGAAATTTTTAAAATGTGATGAACTGATGAAACTAGTAAAGCATGGTGAAACTGGTAAAATGTGAAGAACTGATGAAACTGGTGAAATGTGGCAAAGCTGATGAAATGTAATGAAACTAGCAAAATGTGATTAACTGAAGAAACAGAGAAACTGGTGAAATATAACAAATTGATGAAACTAGTAAAATATATAAGCAATAAATCAAAATTTAATCAGAATGAAAGCCTAAGTTAAGGTCAGGTTAAGGTAGGTATTAGTGATATTATTAATTTGATATAATACTAATCCCTGATCACTATATCAAGATCACAGAAGGATTAATTAATAATATCTTAACCATATGTGAATAAGCGGAAACCTCGTTTCTGCTAATTCTTAACAGATCAGGATATTATTATTACTAATCTTCTTGAAACAGTCATAAAAAAAAAGTATATAATTCTTTATAAGTTAGGATCAAACTATTTTGTACAAGATATCTAGATATTAACTATGTAGCATATATTATTCTATGTAAAATACACCTCTTGTATAATACCTGGGTACTAACTTGAATTTTAGCTATGAAATATATTGTATCCAGGGTACTATAGTTCACGCTATATAGTAGCTTATTAAATTATTAATAAATAAAAAATTTAATTAATTTTTAGAAATAGTATTTAGTAAAATTATCCAGAATAATAATTAGAATTATTCTTTTATCAAATATGAAAATGGTCTGATTTAAGTTTCCACATTTTTAAAATTATTGTACAGTATTAGATGGTTTTTATTTTTTTTTAAAAAAAAATCTTGGACCAATTATAATACAATTAGTTTTTCTTTCTGTTTGATTTGCGTTAGGTTTAATTTTTCACTTTTTTAAATAATTCTTATTTGACAAAGTCTTCATAATAATGTTAAAATTATTTTTTTATTAATATGATAGGAAATTTAAATATCATACGTCATGTTTTATTAAGAAATTTGTTCTTTAAATTATTAAATATTAAATTAAGTATTACCATTTTTATCCCTACAGTTCTATCACTACGTACAATAATAAAATTATTGATGAGATTGTATAACTTAATAAGTTTTGCTGGTACAAAGTATTATACGTGTTACAAAAAGTTTTTATAGTTTTCAAATGTGTCAGTAAGTGGTATGGAAAGAAAAAACAAAATAATTTGGTATGGCCAGTTAATAATAATTTTAATGTACTGTATATTATACTGGGTATATTAAATAAGACAAACTTATCTAATCAATTAAAATTGGTTTAAAAATAAAGCTTTATTACTTTTCAAGTACTACAGAACCAGAATAAAGAAACCGATCAACTTTGTTCTGGTTCATTGGTATGATACTTTTGAAAAAGAAGAATTATGGAGATGTTTAAGAGTAAAATTAATTGACTATTATAGTTGTATATCAGTAGAAAGTATAGATAAAACTGTTTATATAGTTCTAATATTTAGTAAAATGAATGAATATCTAATAAATAACTATACTTTTTAGCGATTTACAATTTTGATATACTGTACAAATAAATATTACACAATTAAAAATGTTCACTATACAAATAGCAAATATTGCTTCATTATTTTTTTTATTTAGACTTATTGAGATTATACAAAAAAAAATCTATTACTTGGATATTATCTAAATTTTATATTTTATATTAAAAACGAATAATTCAAGGTAATTAGAACTTTAGAAATAAATTGTAGTAATTTTTAAAGTATAATCAGGTTATATTTCAGTAATTGCAGGCTATCTATAATGATTTAAAAGAACCATTTTTATACGTGTGTCAAAATATCGCAAGACAGATTTTTAGTAGACTTCTGGTAATAACAAGTTCGATTATTTAAGTAAATTCATTTAGCATTAAAACAATTTTATTATGTATTGTAGAATTACTTAATAATAATATATTAGTGCTTTTCAGTAGAAAAAGGTGAAAAAGTTTTTAGTAACTTTTTTTAAATTAAAATATCTCAATAACTAGTAAATTAAATTTAATAAAAAAAATTTTTAATATTATAATTTTAAAAATTAAAATAAAAAAATTTATTAAATTTGATTTAATAGTTGTTGAGATATTTTAATTTAAAGTTTAAAAAACTTAGAAGAAATTCTCCTCTTTCTATTAAAAGCTTCTATATTGCCTTTTATCAATAGCGATAAACTAATCTTTCGAGAAAATGCTTATTTTATCATGAATAATATAAAAAAACACTTATTAATCTAAATAGATTGCTAGAAATTGAGCCAAACAATGCAATTCATTAAGATATCATGTAAAAACTTACAATGTAATAAAAATAAGAAAGAATCTCTCGTAAACTTAGATTATTAAAAATCAATTTAAATCATAAGCAACAACGCTCATGAATTTGTTTTGTTTAAAGAACTCAGGTGACAATCTTCTATTATTTAATACTATTTGTTTATTAAGTCGTAACGATTTTAACTTATATTCATCTATATTTATCTAACATAGTAAATACTTAATTCTTTGTCGATTTGAACTTAAGGTTCTGGGCATTTACTGAAGCTATTATACATCTAATAATATTGATAAAAGAGAACACAAGTTTTGTAGCAAAAATATTAAAAGCTTAAATAATTTTTCTCGTCTCGGTATACTGAATTCACTTAATATTGAAATCTATATTTCATGAGATTTTGCTGAAAGTATTCAAATTCCCTATTCTTCTTAACAAGAAGATACAATATACTTTAAATATCTCTTTAAAGTAAAGATATTTGGTGTATATGAAGAAGGAACTCCTCAACAAGTAATTATATATATTAAAAACAGACTACAAAACTTCAATATATAAAATTTTGATAGTTTATAATTTTGACAACTGATCTGTATATTGAAATTGTTGTAGCAAGAAAAGATTATAATATCTTATTATACTTTTGCTTATTTTATTAGTTTATATTTATTATTGCATTTTATAATATAAGGTTTTAGTGATTATCAAATTAGCCAAAATAGAAACAACAAGTTTGGTTATTGCTACCAAAACAGAACTAGTATTAAAAAGAATAAATATAAAGCACTAAACTTAACAGAAATAGGAAGCATCATGGAATAAATAATTTCAAAAATTATCAAAATGAATTTAAGTTAAAAAGGATAAACATAAATAACTCAAATTATCACAGCTTATAACATTAGACATTGCTATTGAATGAAATATGAAGCAAACGAAATAAATATAAGACTATTAAAAATTAATAGAAATGAGAAACTCTATTAACAAAAGCGATCTAGAAAATTTTTAAACCAGTATGGACAAAAACTTGGTAGTTATTTTTTTTTAATACCTATTTGTGTTTTAACTACTTTTAAAAATTATTATATTCAGAAAATTGATATGTTTTAACCATATATATAGTACAATAATTTCTTAATTATGGTTTTAAAAAATCTTAGCATCAAAGTTTGGTAAATAATTTTTTGTTAGTATAACTTATTTGACTGGTGATTCATTTTTGATATAATTTATTAATCAAGACTACAAAGATCCAAAATAAAGAAGGAATTCTTCCAAACTAGCAATGTCTTAAATTTACTAGAAAACAATTAGAGAATAGTTATAATTTATCAGATTATAGCACCCAAAAAAGCAAATATCTAAGATAAGGAAGAAATTCTTCTGAACTAGCAATATCTTAAATTTACTAGAAAACAATTAGAGGATAGTCATACCTTATCAGATTATAACATTCAAAAAAGCAAAGATCCAAGATAAGAAAGGAATTTTTCTGAACTAGCAACGTTTTAAATTCACTAGAAAACAATTAAAAGATAGTCATACCTTATTAGATTATAACATCCAAAAAATCTATTTTATATTTTGGTTTATGTTTTCATAGTGGTATACTATTGTTATCAGAATACAACTAAGTTAAAAAAATGAATATAAAATATTTATTCATTCATTTTCAGAATTCTGCTAATTAATATAGATTGGAGTTAAAAAGGATAAATATAAAGCATTTATTTATTATCAAAAGTCAGCAGAGATGGACAAAATGAACTAAAATATTACTGGTAGCAAATATTTATAAACTTAAAATATTATTAAGCATTGGCTATTAAAAATATTAGTATCATTTTTAATGAAATAATAAAACTATTATTGCAATATATCAAATTATAAATTGATTGATTCTATTTTGTAGATTATTAGGTTTATACTAGAATAGATACAATAAATTCAGAAAGTAAATTGTACATTATATTACTTATTAAGTATTACTGTATTATACTGATTAAAAGAC